GTTTAAATCACTAATAGATGTCACTGCTGTTTCCACAGCTGTTTGTATGTCTTTCCAAACAACATCTGGGTCAGCCTCGTTTTCAGAACTACCTACGTGTGACCTCAGTTGTTCCTGGAACCTGCTTTCGGTTTTCTCATGTACGTTGCGTACGTCGAAAGCTCCAATGTGTAATTTGGAGCGAGGTTTCAGTAGACCTAGGACAATGTTTCGCGCTTTAGAATCGTTGGCTATGGTGACACTTGAGGAAGCCGAAAGAGGAAGTTTAAAGTTGAAAGTCGATGTAGGAGGAATAATAAGAATTGAAGAGGGAGGTTGATTATGAATATAGTGGTCTTGAGTGCTGTTAGAGCTACGCACCCTAGGTCAAATCGGTCAGCAGGCTTCCTTGGCTAAAACCCTAGAGTCTTGTGCCATTGATGTATGCTGTGTCTCCGAAACACTCAGCATCCTAGTGTAGCATTCACTTGACCCCATCTCGCCAAAACGGAGAGCCAACGAGATGCACCCTCCGTGTATCTGGTGACCCGATGGCCAGTTCTCATGGACTGGCAGGTGTGGGCATAGCACTAATAATGAGGGCGGAACAAGCGCTGTTAGAGTGGATCCCCGTTAACAGTCGTTTATGTGCTGTTCGGTTGAACGGCTCTGTAAGAATTCGGAAGGATAGAGACACATGTCGTTGCCTTTTTGTCGTTTCTGCCTACGCTCTTACTGACTGCAGCTCGGATGAAGTGAAAGATGAATTTTACAGAAAGCTCTCTGAACTTCAGAAAGCTAAACGTCCAGACATAGTACTCGTAGGAGGTGATTTTAATGCTCAGATAAGCAGTTTAAACCAAACAGACATTTAGGTAGGTATTTTAGTATTTCGGCACAACGAACAGATAATGGTAATCGTCTACTGCAACTGTACACAAACAATCGTTTATTTTTAGCAAACACAAATTTTAGGGATAAGGATTGATATCGTCTAACATGGCGACCCCCTACACCAAACCAACAATGGACTCAAATAGACCATATTGCCATCAGTCATCGTTGGAGAGGGTCGGTAGAAGATTGTCGCTCATTCTGGAGTACCTGGTTGGACTCCGACCACGCCCTAATAAGGGCACGCATCTCCCTGCGCCTCATTGGACGCAAAAAAGCCTCAGTAAAAAGACCCATTAGAACTGAATTGAGTAGCGAGAAAACTAAAAGTAGGTTCCAGGAACAACTGAGGTCACACGTAGGTAGTTCTGAAAACGAGGCTGACCCAGATGTTGTTTGGAAAGACATACAAACAGCTGTGGAAACAGCAGTGACATCTATTAGTGATTTAAACCACAGGGTTACAAAGAACCAATGGATTTCTTCAAGGTCTATTGCACTGATAGATTCTCGCAAACTCATCCCATCAGGTTCTAAACACGATGAAGAGCGTAAACAAATCAGATCTAGGTTAAGCAAAAGTCTAAGAAACAACCGTGAGCAGTGGTGGGCAACGAAAGCGAAAGAGATGGAAAAGGCGGCGGCTATAGGGAACACAAGACAGCTCTACAGACTGATAAAAGAAACTGGAATTATTAAGTCAAGTGTAAGTCAGACTATTTCGGAAAAAGACGACACTCTCATCTGCTCCCAGTCCAGACGTTTAGAACGATAGGTGGAACATTTTAGAGAACATTTCAGCTGGACTTTAGCTACTCTACAACTACCCACCATTCTCCCAACTCTAGCTGAAGTTCAAAAGACTATAGTTAATCTGAAACGAGGAAGGGCAGCTGGTCTAGATGGATTGGCTCCAGATGTCTTTTTTAGCCCGTCGCCATTTGTTATAACTTGTAGCTTGTGCGCCCTGTTAGTGTATAAGGTAACGATACCGCCATTTAGAGAGCAGTGGATTACCGATCGGACCAGTAACGCATAAAACCCGTGAGAGCAGTCTAGAGTCCTTATTGGTCCTGCTTTCCGCGTAGTCCAGCCAGTTAAGTCCAGAAAACTAATCTCAACCTCTGTCATATAAATCATTTCAAGCATACTGGGTATATAAACCAACCAGGCAGACCACATCGTACCAATTAAATAGGAAATAACATTTATACAAATATTAGCCAAATGCGGCCGTGAATGTGAGAGGTAGTAATTAATAGACAGGGTATAATTCAAGAATGGTAAAACGTATAATAATAGTTCATAGGTCAAAATAAGGCTCATAATAAGAGGGACATGGATATGTATAGTTTATTTATTTAAGAATTATACGATAAAATATACGCATAGTATTGGTCCATAAATGGATCCCAAAGTTACCATTTATTATGCTTATCGGGACATAACACATAGAGACCCTTCAACCCCTCAAGCAGTTTAAGTTGATTAGTCACTTTACTCTGGTTAACACTTCTTTAGCGAAATTCTCTTTTTGATTGAGTTGTTCTGTTGATAGTGTACTGGTATATATCATTATGCTATTCTGTATTGCTGTACTGCTTCCAGAATTATTCTCCATACTGAAGCTCTGTAACCATCTAACTGGCTCATCTAAATAAGCATGGGGCTTAAGCCTACCGATGTCTCCAGTTATTTCTGTCATCTACAAATCAGTTTGTTGACAGCTTAATCTGGTTATGTGATCCGATTCTCAAAAATTAAATCTAACGGTCAGGTCCTAAATAATTGGGGAATTAGTGATCTACAAGCTGATTTACCCCAATTGCCTATGACAGAATATTTGGTTGATAGTTACTCCTTACGTCGAACACTACGATTCTGTTGTCATGAGCAATACTCACTCAATATTTGACCTTTTTCCTCTACTTGGTATATATGCATTTTACTCACTCTTTTTTGAGTTTTGTTCTTTCCTACATAAGTGAATATTTTTTGGTAGTAAATAGCAGGCTACATTGTTAATTGCAGGTCTACCTTTCCAATGCTTGTTCCACTTCCCAAATCTTTTAATATCAGCCTAGTTCTTCCTAACCGATCTCGGTGATCTGAAGTTACCGGTTAATTATGCTTAGCTTTTTCGGTTCATCCGTAAAATACTCTGAATGAATCCAGTTTAAAATATGAACTAAATACGGAGCTTCCTTTTTCTTTCCTCGATTTTAAGGAAAAAATATCAGCGAGACTATAATTTATGGATGGACCAATCAGGTATCAGATAACAGGTCTCGGATTTTGGCACGAAATTCATTTATCCATTTGGATAAACAGAGTTTTAGCAATATAGCTGATGTCAGTTCGTGATGAAAACCCGAAATCTAATTCTTCACCTTAATCATCAACTGTAAATTCTAATTCCACACACAGCTTTATAACCCCCATTTGGTCTTGGTTATTAAGTGGACACTCTCAAGGTCAGTCTGGTGTCGCTCAAAGGTCGTCCATAAATTATGATCTCACCAAAAATATCAGTACCAGAAGTTTATAGTTTCAGACTGTTAGGATGCACTTCAGTCACATGTATAGCGATTCGTGTGTCATCTGAAGTTACGTTTTGTACTGTAGAAGCATTAAAAACAGTGTGTATAAACTCTGAAAAGTAAGGAAACTATTAAAAAAACAAGAGCCAAAAACTTAGTGAGCCCATAGGATGTACTTAATACACTTAATAATGACCAGAATCGGCAATAACATGTAAAATCAAGAAAATTCGACACTAGAAACTGGCGTTGTATTTCGAATCCGTTGCAACATGGTACCAAACAAGTTAAATCGATATAAAAGCTGACAGAATTATGTATTCATTATTCACTACTGTTTATTCAGTACAAAGAATCCTCAGCACAAAAGTATAAAATATCGCAACAAACTTCTATTACTCTAAATTCCATGGCATCTAAGGTTTTTTCTAAATATTGACTTTCCATCACAAATGTTTCCGGTTAGTCACATTACAACTTAGCATGTACAGGGCTGTGACTAGTAAGTCAGTCCCTTCAGACAACCACTAGCATCTGCAGCGATTCTGCCTCCTCACAACAAAAAGAAGAGGTTAAGAAAGGTTGGTCCTAGAAATGTCACACCACGTTATTCCACGGATTTCCATATCCAAAGGTAAGGCCTTCAGAGTATGGAGTTAAAATCTCACAAAAAAACGCCGTGTGACTTGTCTCAAAAAGCTGTCCTCTGAGCATTGTGGTCACACTTTCAGATATATAAGACCTCGGCTAACCTGACTTCCTTTTCATGTATTTTAAGCTGAACCATCGTTTAACGGTGTACTCAGCTGATAAGTAACGATTACCCTCATACCTCTAACAACACCTGAGATCATCTTGTTCGCCATCAAATCCTCTGATTTTGTAATACTTGTATAACCATCATATTTCGCTTTACCTTTATTTAGGGTACGTTTTCTTGATTTTACTAAAAACGCATGCCAACCACATTGATATCTCCTGTTTTTTTGTTTGGTGTTCAGGGTTGTGATATGTTGTGAATAAATAGTACGATCAACGGTTGTTGTCAGTTAAAACAAATTAAAATCAAGAAAACTTTACCCAGTATTTACACAGATGATGAGTAAACAGTCCAGAAATTCAATCTGGTCATCATCGTATCGGCCATAGTTTCTGTGCGCACATCAGCAATACAATAAAACCAAATTTATTAAGACAATGTCATCCAAGTAAAAGTGTCCTTATAGAAGGAAATCAGATCATAAAAAGTGTTAAACGATATCATGTCTATGATGTATGGAGAATAGTAGTTTACTCACGCGTACCTTTACTGCCAATTTTTAATTGTATCAACTAGATTTCAGTTTTTCTGGGACTTTCAATACGTTTCCACTTTGTTCCCAAATTTTAGGCAATCTATCATATGTTGAATTAATCTTCATGGCTTTAGTCAATTACCAGACCTTCTCATAGCCGCTGTTGTTTAAATTCATTTCTACGATCTTTTAGTTTTATTCTACATTCATTACTGACTGGATAAAGTAATTTAGTCATTAGTTTTCACCTTGTTCTACCTGTGAAGAACTGCATGGAGCTGGTGTATTTGCTATGCGTTCTTTTTCTGTGCCAACAGCAATTCCAAGTTCTTGCTTACCTCAATATCAAGTTCAAAATAATTTCTCTCAGCAAAACCAGGTCTTTTTAAATTCCATGGCTCAACCTACATTTAGCCTAATGCCGGCAGTTTCTTACTCTTCTATCCCTGTATGCACATCTCCAGCGTCTACAAACCCTATACCTGGATCCAATATCATACAGTCTCAACAGCCTGTAATATTTTCTGCGTGAGTTTATTTCATCCTAAATTATCAGTACATTTATTTCGTTAAATTTTATCCTGTTAGTAATCGCTAAAAATTTTTGGCAAGTGAAACCTTTTTTCTCTTATTTAATTCCCTTTTTGAGTTAAGATTAGTGGTTCACAAAATTTAATTTAAAACTACTAACCAATATTGATGATTAATCTTTAGATTTGGGAGAATTTAATTGCCATATACACAGGTGTATCAAAACTTGTAGTTTTCTGTTTTCAGATCATCCATCCTTTGGATATGTTGAATATATTTGTCAATGTACAAACTCCTGTTGGTTTTTAATACATTTATGTTCCTCCCTTATACTTTAGTCGTATGCAATGATTCCTTGCTTTATATTCTATTAGACTAGGTTTCTTCGTGCAAAACTATCATAACAGTGGTATTTGATTGGAGTATTCTTCAGAGCTGTTCACTCAGATATTATCGACAGTATGAAAATCGGGGTTATCAACAGTTAGCAAGCAAAATACTTACAAGCTTTTATACTTTTAATCATTTCTTACATAATTTTTGTCATTGTATCTGTTTTCAGTAAGCTTTGATTGCTTTAAAAGAAAAGCATATATAATTAGTATGTAAACCGGGTGGTAAGATGTACACTTTTCAGTCGGTTTCCTCTCTGTTTATGTTCCAAATTTTCAAATGCTTGATAAATAGACGAAAAATGTAACATTTCTTACTCTTTATCATCCGGAAAACAATTTATACAACATAAATAATAGTAGTAGGCAATAATTAGTTAACTTTTTAAATAACCTGACATTTTATATTGAGTTTGTTTACGTTTCCTGTCTTGCAAACTTTTTCATACATTAGTACTCCAAATAACGTCCGCAATGCAACCTGTAGTGATAAGACGACCCCATATGATATACTAGGAGTATCTCACTAAGACAATAACTTCGGAATAGGGAGTGAAGTAGTCGAACGCGTCGACAATTTCACTTATCTTGGAAGTGTGATCAGCCCAAATGAGTTAGTGTCTGACGAAATCTCCACACGGATTCGAAAAGCTTGTTTGGCTTTTGCCTAAGGGACGAGTATACTGCGCGGCAGTTCGTTCTGTTTTAATTTACGGCCGCGAAACGTGGCCATTAAGAGTAGAAGATACTTGTGAGCTACTAGTGTTTGACCACAGATGTCTTAGAAATATTGCTGGCGTCTGCTGGGATCACCGGGTAAGTAATAGTGAGGTTAGACGCAGGGTATTAGGGAATGATGGTAAATCAGTTGATGAGGTTGTGAATTTTCACTGACTGAGATGGTTTGTCCACCTTTATTTCTACGAACTAATATACAATCTTTCTCTTACATATTTCTACCATTGGAGTAACTGCTTCTACGAATTTGATGTTCATCTTGCTGTGCTAATGAGGTATGGCAACTTGGACCTATGCATGTATGTGTCTGGTCCTACTTTGTAGCTGACTGACTGACAAATTATTCATTCATATGGGTTTAAATTAACATAAATCGCATTCTCGTTTAATCTTTGTCCTTTTCTTGTCAATCCTTAAACAGAGCTCCGGGAAACTTTTTCCTTGCCCAATCTACACCTATTGGTACTCCAGTTGTGGGTGCTCCATCATTTGTCTTTGCTCCTGGTCAGACTAATCAAAATGCTTTTGTGGTTGCTCACCCATTATCCCAGGCACCCATCGCGGGACAAATGGCCACTCATACAAATCCAGCAAATTGTGTTATTCGTCTTCCTGATGGACGGTTTGTCTTACCAGCTACTGCTCCTAATAATTTAAATCTTCAATCATCTTTAACTCGTATTTGTGGTCCTCAGCCTAATTACTTCCCTGTTACAGTATCTGCACCTACTAGTGTAAATTCATCTACAATACCTTCGTTGACTCCCCAAATCGCCCAACCACCATCAGGCCAAGTAAGTTAATTAAAAGAAATAGACATTTTGCTTTAATTGTGCATAGAGGTTTACATTTATTGTCTGTAGATGTTAGTTTTTGTCTTGCTTTGACATTATCCAGCTTCTATATATTTTTTTCTAAGTAAACAGTTAGTCACTTCCAAATAACAGCATTCTGATATATTTTGTGCAAATCAGCGTTATCATTGAGTTTCTTACGTGCTTATCGTTTAATCTATTGTCTCACAGGCATTCTATATTCAGATGCCAACCAGTTGTGTCAGTGTTGGTAATACAGTTTTCACTACCTCTCAACTGAATACTAGTACTAATTTTCAAACTCATCCAATGTCAACAATGAAACCAGGACCTCAAGTATCCTTCGCTAACTCACAGATGAATGCTTTATATGGCCAATCCGGTACTTTTATAACCCCTGCGACTGGATCGAATCAAGCTCAGTTGGCTCCTAGACCACTTGGTACTAATTTGAATCCTGCTTGTTCTGGAATAATGATGAATAGACCTGGATTACTTCTCCCCACAGGCTGCAGTCCTGGAACTCCAATATTAGATGCATACACTGTACAAGTAATAAAAATTGTTCAAAATATATCAATTGTATAACTGCATAATATTTGGTAATGTGTAATACAAACCTGTAGTCTTTATTCGCACAACCTTTTTGTTACATAAGCCTCAATGCATAACTAATGAACATTTATCAACATCACTCCCCAATAAATGTTATGTTGCCAAACCAAAGTCTAAAATATCCTAAAACATATTTAGGCATGCTGCTTCAATGCCTCCATTGAGAGGACGACAATTCAATTACCGTAACAACGAAACTTTTCGGGCATCAAAAAGTTCAGTTGTTAGTGAGACTATCTCCATAAAATCAGGACTGTCATCTACTACCAGCCCGAATAAATGAATCGGTGGATGGGATACTCCGAAGAACAGTTCAATTGTTCTATGGTCATCCACTTTTTCGAAACAACCAGAATGGAAGATTAACTCTTAGCAAAGTTGCGAGAAAAATAGCTAGTTTAAAGTGAAGGAAATCAACCAGTCCTCATGTAAATTTATAAGGATAGAGGTCCAGTTTCAGCTGTTAAGTTGACTTGTGATATGGTAACTCGAGCTTAGGAAATGGACAATCCCATTTGACTGATTTCGATTATCGGTCATAGCGGTTTATAAGGAAGAACAGAAGTCTTGTGTTAACCTCTCAGAAATCTATTTAACCAATATAATACCTAGTATATTAGCCTTAATAATCACTAAATGCTAAACTAGAACTTGTAAAGAACAACTCTGGGGAAACTATGCTGGTTTCAGACATTGACGTGGATGTACTGATCAGGTTCTGAAATAAATACATACCTGTCAACTTTTGAATATAGTGATGAATTTTCTTCTGCCAAATCTCGGTATAGATTTTGAAAGTTCTATTGGTGCGTCACATATGGTGTAATCTAAATGTCCGTCTTCCGATCAGTGGATGAGTATGTTGTGCAGCGGTATGCTCTGCTCGACCTCAAGTCTATGAAATGTTGCATTTAAAATGGAGTATATTCGTAGGTCTCTAAAATTCGGTCACATGTGCTTTCAAAGCACAGCTCTCGTATATTGGGACCATCAAGTGACCAATCCGGATGTTAAAAGTAGGGTTTTGAGTAAAGGTGGCAAATCGGCTCGTAAATCTATGAAACTTCATCAACTGAGGTAGTTGGAACTTGTGGTCAACTAATTAGAGGTGGTCTTAGTGACCTGGGAGTGTGACCGCAGTGCCCAAGGGACAACTGCTTGAGGTCGGTCACACACGACCTTTTTATGGGTAATTTTCGTTTTTAGCTCCGTACTTGTTGAGACCTTACCGCTGGAGACGGATATCCGTAAGATAAAGCGAGGTGTGCAATTTTAGGGTCGACCTTTTCTAACCCCACCCCTCCTTGTGGGAAGGCAGCACCGCTGTCATGCTGGTTGTCTGAAGGAAACACCTTACTGCTGTCACACCTCTGTACAGTCAGCAGTACGACTTCGCCTTCGGACCTTGGGTTTGTTGCTTTTAGTCTTACCGCCTCTGAATTAACTACTTTTATGAATCCGGTGTCCATCTTGTGTTAATAAGGTATGGCAACTTGGACCAATGCATATATGTGCCTGGTCCTACGCTTTAGCTGACTGACTACCTTCAACTTCTGTTTTATTTATCTTTCTTTAGTTTACAGATCCCAAGGGTTGGTAATACTTGTGTATTCAGTATAGCCAGCTTTTTTTCCAGCATATTTTGAAAGCTTCGAACTTTCTTAGAAGTATTTAAGTATATATCTTCTGTCACTAAGTTTTACTTACCTATTTTCTTTACATTTTCAGAATCAAAAACTAGGTATTGGAACGAATACATCACAGTACACTAGTCTTCAAGCTTTGCCAAGTGGAATGGCCGTTGCCCGATTGCCGAATGGAACGTACGCTACAGTGTCGCTCAGCTCTACTGGAATATCAGGTTCATCACCGATTTTTGTAAATAATGCTTGTGTTCCATCTACACTGGCTAATCCAAATGATACCTCAACTGCACCAAAACGTAGTGCTCCTAATTCACGTACCAGACCAAAGTTAACTGGTTCTCCACCTGCCGATACAGATGTACTACGTCGTTTAGATGATCAAATAGCTTCATTACAACGTTTGACTGCACCTACAGAAATGCAATTAAATAGACTAAAGCAGCTTGTTGAAGTTAAACACCAATTAACAAAAGTATCTAATATATCTGCCAATCCTCCCAATACATTGGCTCCTCGTAGCTTGCCAACATCTAATGCGGTTACGAATACTCCTGCTTGTCGAAATCCTAGTCCTGTGTGTGCGCAGATCACTCCAAGTGTGGTAAGATTTTATTCAAATTATTGCCTACAGTAAGATATTAAATAAAACTCAGATACCTGTTTGATAATAATATTAATTACTGCCATTATTATTGTTTTTTTAATCTTATCAGCGTATTTTAAATTAAGGTTTTCCTGTTTTCTTGCCTAGACGAGTTAAAGGTACTAGATAAATATAGCGAATTGGTTGATGAGGTAGTGAATTTTCATCAGCTTAGGTGATTGAAACAAGTGTTACGTATGCTCAGCCACTCCTTACGTCGACAAAAAATATGTGGTCACGTTTCACTGCCAAAAAGATTCTAAATATAGTGCATAATAGAAATTAAATCACTATGTGAAACTATTAGACTTTGGTTACAAATCAGTTCATTCATCCTTTCGTTTATACTTATGATTTGTTTATTTTTCATACGTTATCATATTTCAATTTAATTATTGTTTTAATTTTGTGATTATGTATATTGAAGTTATTAAAGATTTCTCTTTTAATCATCTTGTTTTTTAGCGTCGTGAAGTCTTAGATTTACTTTCTCAGCACAAATTACTACCACAACCTATTGGATCTAGCAGTGAAGAAACTTTCATAGTAGAATTTCGTCTAAATCAACAAAGATATCAACTGCGACTAACTCGCTCTCAAAAAGTTGATATGGAACGTTTACTTTTTACTAATACTCCACAACGTCAGGCTGAAGTGTTAACTATTTTTCAACAGGAACAAAGTCGTCTGCTTGCTTCAACACCACGGGCAAGACTACCAGCTCCTTCTAGTCAAAGTAGTAATCCAGTTATGACAACATCTCCAGTTGTTGGGTTTAGTATTGCTTCACAACCCTTACGATTACAATCTGGAATTCCAACGTTTGCAGCTGCTCCTATGCACACTTTTCATGGTACATCTGGTCTACGACTGGTTACAGCTCGGCCAGTTGTACCACCAAATGCTATATCAGGACCTATTGTTCGATCAAATATTCCTCCTGTATGTTCTTCAACTCCAGTTGTAGGTGTTGTTACTGCTTTAGCTGTACCTCCTATTGGAACTTGTGTTAATAATCCTAGTAAGATATTTTAATGAACGATGTTTTTTTTTATAAATCACAATGATGTTTGTTTTAGTCTTCATGTATTCTAGGCATGTCTGGGATTTTAGTGCGAGATTCACTCATCTATAGCTTATGTCAGTTTGTAGTGAAAACCCTTGTCCTAATTCCCAATCCTGACATCTAACTCGAAATGTTAATCCTAATTCCTGATACTAATTTATAACGCTCTTCTTACCTTATTAAATAGGTGAATTCTCTTAAGATGATTTTAGCGTCGCTCAAAGGTCGCATTATTATTATTATTATTTAAACATATAAATATTGGTACAAGGAGGCACTAAATATATAAGCGCCACATTCCATCATTCAACTTGTGTGAGAGCTGGAATACTGCTTGAGCGCCCTAACCGAAGCACGTGGTTTTCTTAATGGGCCACTCCTCGAGCCTTTAACCTATAGGTCTAATCCACAAGGCAATGGAACAACGTTAGGAGGTGCAGTCCCATGGTAGCCGGTAACCAACAACAGGTTCATACTCCATTTATTTCCATAGGATCCTGGAGCTCATGTGCAACATTGGTTTGGAATCAGGGTTTTTCCAAATCCTTTAGGTGGATAATTGTCCACTTGACAGATATGAAGAAAAATGAAGAACATGAAGGTCGTAATAATAAAAACTGTATCATAATCATGAAAAATAATAATAACTGATTACGGTTTAAAATTACAAAACATTTCAATGTTTATTGCAGAGGATGTTTGCTGTGATGATGAGTGGTCGAATGTGTTGTGTGGTAGGTCATTTCGATGTCTGAGTGTGGTTGATGAGTCAGTTTGCGAATGTATATGGTGAGAATGTTGTGTTGTGTTGTTTGGTTTGTGATCGTCTAGCGCGATGTTCTTTGTGCGATGTAGAGAGCAGTGTTGTTCGTATGATCATACGATAGCTTGTGTCCGCGTGTAACAATATCAATGTAAGCCTATACATATAGATGTATATATATATATATATTTCTGTGACGAATGCTGGTTGAATGTGATAACATAATTGTGGTGTGAGTTGTGAGTTGAGTTTTCGCTTAGAGTGTGTGTGTTGAGCAGTCGGTTGGTGTTTGCTATGTGTGTTATGTGGATAAGATTGTATTCGTAGGAACTGATCTGTTCGTTTGGAGATTGTGTTATGTTATGTCGGAGAGTGTGGTTGTGGTTATGGTTGTGGGTGCTAGGAAGACAGACTGTTGAGAGAGTGTATAATGAGTTATTTTGTTGAGTTGAAAACGAAATGTGGCAGATGTGATGTATATTTGTTTGGCGGTATCAATATGATGCAATCTTTTCTAACCTTTTAGTGACATATATTTACCATATAACTATTAATACGAATGTACAGCTTAAGTAAATGATTTCGTCGGAAAGAAAATTTTCTTCTCTGGATTCCGTTTATTTAAAAATAGTGTAATAATGTTAATAAAAGTTACGAATTCAGCATATCAAGTATAGTTTTAAAAAGACAAATTTAGGGAATAGTAGATAGTAAGGATTAATACTATTGTCAATATTTAGAGTACGATAAGAAGTAAATAAATTCACGACGTTGCGATCAGTTTTGAACCTTGTCACCTAAGATCTCCAACTATAAAGATCATATATCTTGTAAATTGACTCCATTTCTTATTACCACTCTTAATCTTTTTTTGATCGATTTCTACGCTGACCGGCATTTCGTTTCAAAATAAGTAATATTTATGTAAGCGTGCCTAAAACATGTCCGAACTACCCCAGTTGATTATTTTTCAATATAATGAATGACTGACTTACCACAACTATCTATATACTTGTGCTTTTTCAAATATTCTCTTCCAAACTATTCATTTCGTTCAAAAATGCTTATTAATTCTCATCATTTTCACTAATTTCCTTCCCTCGCTCATTATTTTTCTTCAGTGTTTGCACCCGCCTTAGCTTTAAATTCTGCTGCAGTTAATATTCCTACAGTTTCACCTAGTCTTTCAATGTCCTCAGCAATGATGTCCACCATAAATGCAACAAGTGGTTTGCTAACAACAATACCTACAACTTCATTTAGTTCAACTGTGAATAATGCAGCGCAAAACTTTGTTTTATCGAATTCAACTTTAGTCAATTCTACTGGTACTACAATTCTAACTCCTAATACTAGTGGGTTCTGTACACAGTCTGGTCCATTCACATTACCACCTGAATCTATTAATGTTGTTAATTCGATACGACCCGTAGCACTGAATATTCAACAAGTAAATTACCTGACTATGTTATCAATTTTTTCAATCATTTTTCCTCTATAAATAAACAAATATTTCCTTGCCCATAGCTTCAGATATCTGAATAGCCCATCAAGAGTAGATTTTACAAATCAGTTCACTTCTTTCTACTACTTGCATCTGCTAAGCACGATATCCGAGGACTAGCGTATAATATAATTACAGAAATGAGATATTAAGAGTTTTCAAGTTGCTGTTTATGTATAGTAAAATCATTAATTGAACACTAGTCAGATTCGACTTTATGTGAACAGGTTAGAATTCATTCAAGTGACTTTGTTGTGTCCAGACGTTCATCGATTTAAATCTGCTATCCTGACTGAAATGATAGTACGCTGGAAATTTTTTTAGAATATCCGTTAACTATTAGTCTACCAAGAAATGATCAGTTTATCTAGTTTTTGGTTATTAAATATCAGTTCTTTCTCTAAAAGATATAACTTGGATGATATTTTGTAATGTGAGTATCTACGTATAGTCTGAGGGGGTACCTTATTTTCTGGGTGTGTGTAAGAGATATTCTAGAAGAGGAAAAGTGATCCGACGATTCAGTAACCACATATAATGCATTTACACTGAATAATGATGTTGATATTGAAGTGTTGTAGTGTGACAAACATCCAGTCTATTCAAGTGCTTGTTCGTTTCGTCGTTATCAAATAAACCCTGACGGCAAATAGAATTTACTGTAGGCTCACTGGAAACCTCAATACCTTGATTGTCGATATTTAACAATATCTAGATTACATAAATAATTGTGAACTTCTTAGTCTATCACGCTACTCTTATCCCAACTTTAGTATATTACATCGACACATACTTGATATTTGAGATTTTTTCTTTCTCCTATCCTACAGTTTACATTAAGTTACCCCATTACTAACTGTATAATTTAGTAAAATTAGTCTACTACTTGTTTTTACAAGTCTAATAAGAAACTGGTTTTCTTACCACATATTTCTTATAATTTAATTTCAGGCTGCTAGAATAGGTCGACTTCGTGCTTATTTAACCAATGATCTTAGATTAGCAGTCGACAAACCGCCAACATTACAAACTAATGATCCAACAAAATTACCAAGTCCATTAGAACTACTTGAAGCGTTGGCACCTTATCACGTTCTTAATGATGCAGATAATACTAAAGAAGCCTTAGATAAAGGTTGGTTCATTTCAGTAATAATAGTAATCATTCACATTAATTTTATGCACTTAGGACCCTTTAGTCACCTTGATGAGATCACGAACAGAGATTTTAGCAGAACAATATGAGTTCATCTCATTACGTTTGCTTCTCGTTAGCGACTTATAACTTAACTTGATGTTATAAGCAGTTGATGAGAACTAGAAAAATTATTGTTAAAGAGATGTGGTGGTGATTGGTTTGATTCGTAGGTTATATTCGTCCCAAACTGACCTCACTTGGTGTACCATTGAAGACCCACCAGAGAACACTGGACAGCTCTTTTATTGTAGTTTGGGACTGTTCATCAGGACCTTTACGGATCACTCTGTACGATTAACGATTAGAACCAGTGATACTACTCCAATTTTAATCAATTTCCGATATAGCCTAACGAGGTCACAATCGTTTCACTCCTTATATGTCTGAATTTCATTTTAGTCATGACCTCTTAGTATAAATTTAAGAACTTCCTGAAGTCACTAGTAAGCTGATTATTTGATGTGAAGGAGTTTTGTAAAGATTGATATTATATATAGATTGTATTCGTCACAGACTATCTCTACATAAATTATTGTTTCTTTTAACAATTCTCTCCTAGTTAATGAGTGATTATTATGTATCATGGTTTTTTTAATGTTTGAAATTTCAATCCTAAACAAAACATATATAAGTAGAGTTAAAGTGGTCATTCTTTTTAGCTTGTTACTTTACCAATCGAGGAAAAAGGAAGTAGACCTTAAGAGATATAAATAAAATTGATTTATACTGTAGCTTTTCATCTTTCCTCTCTTTATTTCTACCTAAAATTGTCTGAAAGAGTAGTAAGGTATCAAATAAAAGTGTTTTTGTCATTTTAACATTTCTTACTTGTAAAATTTATCTATTGACATGATCTATCCCATATTATCTTCATGAGATAAACTATCTATGAAATGTGCTATTCTCAATGAATTCAGTAACATTTTATTGGATATCCAATACATTCTTCATCAGTAAAATTGTCCTTTGAAACAATTCATTTGTCAGCTAGTAGTAGTTGCACGGGATCAGTAAAATTGTACTGTACAATCTTCCAAGCTAACTAATAAACCTGATTTTTTTTTACAGGAAACATTACTTATTTTCATTGGTTGTTTGAGTCTTCCGATTGATATTTAGGATTGCAATTGATCAGTCTCATATTATCCTAGAGTGAAGATCAACTCTAGGAGGTCTCATTGTTATCCACCATTCATCTCTGCTTACAACATTAAGTATTGATAAACATATAAGAACTTATATATTCATTATAAAAATTCAAATCAAATTTAAAGTAAAGTATACACATTTTAAAACTTTATAAGTGGCACAATCTTACAGTGAATTATTTGTTTGTTTTACTCACCTTAACTGGTACTACTGTTCATATTTGTTTTCACTTAAATGAATTAAGTTTGTATAAAGAAATAATAAAGAATTTTTATTCACCTATTGATCTCTTTTTCTTTCTCTATAATCTTATCATAATTTTAGTTGACCTAATATTGGAAAAATCTGTTAATCTACTTTTACAGAAGAAAAAAGAAACAATTGAAGCTGTGAACTCTTTAATTTTCAAGGAATCATTGGTATGTATATATGTATATAAACTACATTTAACAAAAATGTTAACTGTGGTGATAAAGACCCACAAAAGTTGGGATGCATTGATGATATCCCTTCTAAACAACACTTGCAAATTTATAGCAATACACTTGGCCAAGTCTTTGTTTTCGTTAGAAATACTTTAGAAGTTAATCTCTTCGCTGAACCATTTATATCCTATAATTCCGTCCGTACATGAGATTGGTAGTTGTCTTAGCTTTAAATCATGCTTGTAGTTTTTGTCGAGATCGTGAATCGATCGATTTTAGACCACTATGGAAGCACTGGATGGCCGTCTCGTTCATGTTCCTTCACATGAGACTCGAAACCAGGACCTTCAGCCTCGCGCGTGAGATCTTAATATCTAGACGATTGTTTGGCTTCAACCAATTCAAGATATTGCACGAGCATCTTCAGTTGTCTTCGATGGGTAACTTCCTCACACCCTATACATTTAAACTCCACTGGTTACAGCTTCTTTAGCAGTCTTTATAGTTCTCACAAAGAGTGTTTAATTTACTTATATATGTATATATCATCAATACATTCTATTCATTGGTGACGTTGAGCACTTGAAGAATTTCCGAATAATTTTTTTCTTCACGTCTATTAGATATAATGTAGTTTATGTTCTTAGTTTTTTTTTAATTTATCGTTAAATGTGTAAGTTCTGTTATTCATTTACTTCAGTCAGTCAGTCAGCTACAACGTAGGACCAGGCACATATGTGCATCGGTCCAGGTTGCCATACCTCATTAGCACAACAAGATGAACACTGGATTCATAGGAGTGGTTAGGTCAAAGGTTGCAATAAGGATATAGTATAGGAAGGAAGAATTAGTTCGTAGAAAGAAAGATATGAAGTGATTTTAATCTCTTAGTTTAAGGGAAGACAGGGAGTGTATACACCGACGCCATTGTGATCGATTCTGAGCCATGTCACCAAGAGTCTCCAACCATTGGTTACGAAAGTCACGCGGACCCCAACCAAGTAGTCTGCATCTACCAACATGGCTAAGACTAGAAGTTAGTGACTTCAAGCACTGATGCCACGTTTTGGTTTGGCCGCCCCTAACTTTCTTCCAACCATCCCCTACACCGGTTAGCATTGCACGTCGTGGTAATCGGTGTTCAGGCATACGTAATACGTGGCCCAACCATCTCAGTCGATGAAGATTCATAACCTCATCAACTGATTTACCATCATTCCCTAATACCCTGCGTCTAACCTCACTATTACTTACCCGGTGATCCCAGCAGATGCCAGCAATATTTCTAAGGCATCTGTGGTCAAATACTTGTAGCTTACGGGTGTCTTCTACTCTTAAAGGCCATGTTTCGCTGCCGTAAAGTAAGACAGAACGGACTGCAGCGCAGTATACTCGTCCTTTTATTGATAGACGGATATCTCGCCTCCGCCAAAGGTGACGTAAGTTGGCAAAAGCCAAACGAGCTTTTCGAATCCGTGCTGAGATTTCGTCCGATACTAACCCATTAGGGCTGATCAGACTTCCAAGATAAGTGAAGTTGTCGACGCGTTCGACTACTTCACTCCCTATCCTCAGTTCAGGTGTTGACGCAGACCAGTCCTGAAGCAACAACTTGCATTTAGAGGGAGAGAAGCGCATTCCAAACATTCTGGCATTGTTGCTCAGTGCTACCAAAAGACTCTGCATTCCATCAGCGTCTTCACCAAACAGAACTATGTCATCTGCGTATTCTAAGTCGATAAGTGGACCTCCTGGAAGGAGATCAATACCCGAGAATTCAGTAGACGAGAATGTTATTTCCATCAATAGGTCTATGATGAAGTTAAACAAAAATGGAGAAAGTGGACAGCCTTGACGGACACCACTTGAAGTTGCAAAAGTAGATGACAGTTCGCCATAAGCTCTGACTCGACTAGTAGTGTTCGAGTAAAGAGCCTTCACAAGGTTTATGTACTTCTGAGGTACGCCTTTCAGCTTAGTTATTAAATTTCAATGGAAACATTATTACATCACAATTATCTATATACTTTTATCGTCACTCAATGACTTCACTCACTTTCAGATAGACACTATATTTTTAGTTTATATACACTTTCGTCACGATTTGAACAATATTGTCTCATTAATATTCATAACTATACCTTAAGTGTCCGAGTAAATACTCCTACTCCAACTGATCCAATCTGATTTCAATAAATATATATATGCAAATTTGTAACCTGTTATGACCAATATCTAGATGTGTAGTTGAATCTTAATGCAATACCTTATATGTGTGAGGCCTACGCAGTTGCCCAAACTGAAATAGATTTAGTATGGTTTGAACCTACGACCTACTGGTTGGGAGTAGAGTGATTTGACTGCTAAGCTAAAAAGACATTTCAGTTAGCTGAAATAATTATGATTTCACTAAATAATAGGACTAATTGCTTTCAGCAGACTGTGGATTTCCCTTCATCTTATCCAAGTCTGAAAGCACTGTACTACTGTCTCGTCCTAGTATGAGACTCCTCAGTAGTGCCCATCCACAGCGTAAGTTTAATCGTTTTCATAGAGCGCAGTGTCAGCCATATGACGTGTATTTGTTAACTCATTAGAATACTCTTTCAAAATTGTATAATACGTGGTAATAAGCCGAGAATAAAGTTTACAATTATGCCTTTTTCCTCCATCCTGACAATATTAATAACATATTTTCTGTTTCCAATTTATTCTTTTCTTCTGAATTATGAACAGTACAAACTAGAACCATTTTTAGAAGACCGTTTACTGGTAGCTAACATGGCTTTAGATTTGGAACGTGATGTATTTACTACTGAAAAAGAAATATTTGCAGAAGCGTTAAATTTTGACAAAAAAGAGAATTGTGTTGATATTCATAATGATGATAATGATAAGAAACCAATTATTGTTGAGTCAGTAAATGAGCAGTCTATATCAAACAAATACAGTGATGATAAAAGGCATTTGAACAAGAAAATTACTCCCATTTTAAAGCATTCAGTTTCTTTGCTTCCTTCACCATGGTGTGATCTCTTAGGTCCTTTAGCCTATCTACGTCCTTTAAACTTTGATACTAATGGTAACACAACTGTAGCTGAAATTAAACTCCCTTCAACCGACTCAGAGTTTACAGTACACAATGAAAATAATACACACGCTCAAATACAATCTTCTACTGATTCTTCTTCCAATAATGTGATATTAATTAATTCAATATCTGAATCAAATACCGTTAACTTAGCAAATAATTTGCTAGTAGAAAAACACAATGATTATGATGAGGATGTAAATGATGAATCGTCGGATGAAGCTGAAGCTGATCGACTACTTGGTCTTGGTGGTGGTGGTTGTAGTAGTAATAGTAGTGGTATTCCAGCTTTAATTATTAATCGGTCAAAATTATTGGATAACAATTCTACAAATGGTCTACTCGACAATAATAATAATCATCAATCTACTGGAGGTATTAGAAATCATTCGGAATGCGATGGGGGTGGTGGTGATAGTGACGATGGAGAATTCGATGAAGCTTATGCATTTTGGCAAGAATTAATGCATGATAGAAGTATCAATATTGAGGATATGAGTGCCGGTCTAATAGAGAATAATTTTGATAATGAATCTAATTTATTGGTAATCATCTTTGTTTATTTCACACATATATTTCGCCTGTTCAAGTTTCTTTTTTTCGAATCCAGCCTATTTTTGTAGACGTGAATAATTTTCAAGATATATGTATGTTAGAGGTTGTAAATGATGTGTAGAGAGTGGTCACATCAATTTCCACATCGTGAAAAGATGGTTCTTCGTGAGGGGCCTGAAAAGGAAGCTGAATTGACCATAATCTTAATGACCACAAAACTCAACAGACAACTGCTTGAGTTCGGTCATATATGAGCTTTGAAGGCCTTACTTCCGGATACGGAAACCTATGGGATAAGATGAGGCATGGTGTTTCTAAGTTCGACCTTTCTTAACCCCTTCCGTTGTGAGGTACTAATTGTCTGAAAGAAATATCTTAGTGTTGTCGCACCCCTTTACATTCAACAGTACGAATTCATCCTGGAAAATTGATCTGCTGTTTATAGTCTTTCGTTTCTCCAAACGACCTATTTGGTTTGTATGTTTGGACGTGAAAGAACAAGTGTTCTGTGTAATATAACCCTGTCAGATCATCACGATAGACAAGCTTGACCACCACGTCATGGTAGCACCTACGGCCGAGATATACATATTCGTTGTAAAGTAGGTGTGACATTTCATTGTATTATTCGAATGTCGATCCTTTTTCTAGTCGCTTCGATGAATGTTCAAAGAAAAACAGCTGTTAATCTCGTTAAAGTTCGATGCAACTCGAATCTTAACATACAAATGCTAATTTGTTTCTATAAAAATGATTATTGCTGAATCAATATTTCACATCAGAATAGCAAAAGAGAAGTAAATAATTTGAAACTTTAACAAGATCATCATCCTAACGTGTTGGAAATATCGATTATTTTGCCATTCAATCTACAATCAAAGTTTGGTAATACACCTTTAGTTATGATTGTTGCAATAGTTATTTTCTTCAATCATTAATGAATATCTGTACTAGTGGATGCATTTGTACTCCTTATTAGCTGGTCTGTTAAATTTTGTACAAAATAAGTAGTCGTGTTTTACAGTTTGGAGTAGCCAAACAAGTGTCGATATCATCTTCAACATTCTTCAATTTGGAGTATCCCCTATTCGCTCAAAAATTGAAATCTTTATATGTAATGTAGCACGGTGGCTTAATGTACAAGGCGTTCATACACTTAGAGTGTGACTTGAATAAAGCCAAATATATATAATTGTATTCGGTAACAAGTTAATAGTCATATACTTTATGTGTTTTCAAAAACAATTCATTTCCACTATGATGGACACATCTGCCTTAGTTCATTGTTTTTAATTATTGTAGGATGAACCACCTAATAAATCATTACGTTTACTTGACAATGGACAAACTCATAGCTTACCAACAGTTCAACACTCTGAAGATCCAGATATTGATGCAGCAATTCGAAGTATTCTATCGACTACTGATTAATACGACAATCAAGAAAATATCTTTTGTATATTATGTTAATATTTTGAAATTCATTAAAATCACCATATTGTTATCATTATTATTATTATTATATAGTATTATGTATGGTATCCCACTTGTGTATGCCCTAATCTGATCTTTCAAAATTTGTACATTATTGTATGTTTTCATTTTTACATGTATCAATGATTTCCCCCTCTTTTCTCTTCCGTAAAAAATAAAAGTTGAGTAAGACTTCTTTAGATAATCCTGTTTGTTTATTGTTGTTTCTCTCTTTCTTTTTTAATAGAAAAAGATATCTATTTCATCATATCTTTCCTCATTTTATAATATTTATAACAACAGAATATTTCTACATTGTGTTTAGTCTTAATCATACTCTTCCATCCATTCAAGTGTGCCTTTTTTTGTTCTGCTTAATTAACTTTCTATTGTCCTATTCTCGCCTATTGCTTTTTCTTCTTCTTCTTCTCCTCCTCCTCCACTTTGTCTTATCTTCACCCTTTGATTTTTTTTTTGGATTCTATTACAACAAACATATCGTTAAAATTAATGATCTTATTAGTAGTATCTTTGTTTTAATTTGAATTATTTTTTTTAGTACAGTCATCTATTCATAATCTTGTATAATAACAAATGGAATTGATCAAGATCAGAAATAATAATAATGATAATAAGTCAGTTGTCATGAAAATGAAATGTTCCGATTATGTGTTGTTTATATTGTTGTCGTTGTACAGTAATTTCTTCCTCTTTTTTTTCTCTTTTACTTCTTTGTTTTCTAGGTGTAAATTTTTTTTTCTCTATTCCTTGTACATGTATAAGCCCTTTGTGCATATTATACATATGTAATTCTTAATTGGTTGAAATGTGGCTTGTTTTACGCGACAATTCCTTATCATATACATACAAGATTTCAAACTTGACTGTTGAAGAAGAACTTTCTTTCTTATTCATTTTGTTAGTTTGAAATATACATAAATAAATACATATATATTTACTTATATATATTTAGTTAAATTTACCAAAGGAAAGTGTTATGTTGACTACTTGTCTGTTGCGTAATATCGTAAACATTAAATTCAATAACTTTTTGTCATGTATATACAGAAGAAATTATTCGTACAACAACCCCCGTATATTTTAGATGGGATCGTGGATGTGCACTGCTGAGGAGTCTCATACTAGGACGAAACGGCCGTCCAGTGCTTCCAGGTTTTCCATGGTGGTCTAGCTTGAATTGATTCATGATCTCAACTATTGGGATTATTATGAATAAACTACTGTCTTCGTTTGGTTATTCGTAAAATTATTCTAAATCATTTTCGTACATTTAATGTTTATATCCTAAAGAATGAATGAAAGTCGTCAACATAATTAATAAATGACTGTATCTCTTTATACATAGTTATAGTTATTTAGTGAATTGTACACGGATATAATAGACAAGAATTATGCCTAACACATTCAAATTTTAATTGATTATAAAGTTAGTGAAATACACCACTGATTTTCTTCAATCGTCTATGATGTTTGATTATGTTAGGTTTTCTGTCAACGTGTTTATACGTATACTATTTTATTAGATAAAAAAGGCCTAATTTTATGGGTACTTATCCTTAACTCGTCTACTAAGTTGGTTATCGAGATATAATACTGTGTTTTGGATAAGAAAAAGAATGTAGACGTGGTCTAGAGGTTAAGCGTTCGCGCACGACACTGATGATTCTGGGCTCGTGGGTGTGTACTGCTGAAAAGTCCCATACCAGGATGGGACAGTTGTCTAGTACTTTCACGTGTTCAATGTTGGTCTAACATTGATCGGTTCACGATCCCAAGTAAAAGGGAGTTTTGGTGTGTGGTAAGATTCTACGGTACTTTATTTGTAACAACTACCAGTGCTTTTGTTAACATTTATATTCTGAACAAAACCTAGAGCTAATAGAAATGTTGCACCATTAGTATATCTAGAACATATGCTAACTTCCTGAAGATATCGAATTCCACGTTGGCTTAGAAATAGTTTAAGTCACTAACGTAAGAACTACTTACGGTGATGTCTATTTATTTCAATCTTTGACCTATGACCGTACGGTCAAATTCCTTTAGTAATGAGTTATGATGAACATCATTGATAGGTGTTTGCATAATTTAAACTCTCAGTCACCTCTTGTTAGACGTCCACCTACCACCAATATTTTCTGTGTAATAGTCACTTCGTTTCACCTTCAGTCAGTAGTTTTGACATTAAGATTCATCCTTACTCACTTAAATTTAAGGGTAACTTGTGGTCTCATTTGCTTTTACAAGAATAGAGTCCTTCGAAATTGAATACATTAGGTCATAGTAGACCAGTAATATTAATTGTCATAACTGAATAGATATTCAAAATGCAACTTGATCGCACATATTGCATGGATTGCGATCAGTCATGAAAACTTCGAGAAATACTGGAGCGATTTACTTCTATTTATTGGGAAATTGGACTGTCTTGTAGACTTGTATACCCAAGTAAACAGAGCTTTATTCGTTCATGAACCATACTTTTGTGTGGGCTAGTGATACTACTTGTTTAGTTGAAAGGAACTAGTTAAGCAAAAATTCTCACATGACATTAAATGGATAAAAGTAGAATTCTTGAATCCATTGGCTTTCAATTGGGGAATGTTTACCCTTGATTGTAATATACAGCGTACAGATATTTTTTTCAAGTTATCAATATAATATGCATGCAAATTAGTCAATAGTCTGATATGTCAGGAAACCCATTAAAGTCTTTTACAATAGCTGAACTATATGAATAATGATTAAGTCTACTTAGAGTAACTTGGTAATATTAAAGTAACTTATTCACATTCTCATTAAAATCATTGTTTCAGTAGTATATTAAACTGTAATCCGAATTTACCCATGAACTCTTTGATTGCTTTTATTCTACTTATGAGTAATTTCATAACATTCTTTTCAAAATTTAATTCACTAATTTTGTTTACTGATTTATAACTTATCAGATTTTATAACAAGTATTATCAAACAAACATGAATTTACTGGATTCTTGGTTGGATAAATTGGAAATTGAAAATAGTAGTAGACATGATAACAGATCTTCAATGGAATATCGTCTCAATTTATGGCTAAACAAAATATTAGATCACCCTACAATAAATAAAATTGTTTGCATCACTTCTGGAGGTACTATTGTTCCTTTAGAAACAAATATGGTTAGGTATATTGATAATTTCAGGTAAGTTCATTATTCAGATAAGAATTTTTACTCTATTCTAATGGGCAATGCTTTAATGTTTGTAGTGATAGGAACTGTGTTCGAGTCCCACAGTATGTGTACGTCAACACTTAGATCCGTTTGATAAGCTCTATGTAGGATGGATCAGTAATTCGGGATTTCAACTTTATTCATAGTACACTAAAACCTAAATAGTTATGCTTAGAATAAGTGTTGAATCCCGTTTCATCGTATAATAGTTGCTGTCTAACTGTTGCTCAACAATTTTCCAGATAATATTTAAAATATTTATTTCAGGATTTCACTAATTTTCTCTTTAGATTTAACATGTTTTTATTGGCTGTTTGTCGAATTAATGATATACGTATCTTCCTTTCTTGGAACCAACCTGTGTTCCATTTAATACATAAGAACTTAGCTCTTGGACAGTTTTATGAAGACATTAGTGATTGCACTCAGAAGGACCAAATATCGCTGATAAATGATACATCTGGTTATTTTTCATCATAATTGAGATTTTCAGCTAAACACTACATAAGTTTATTGCAGTAGGAATTCAGTTCCATGGTACAACTTCAGCTCTAATGCTTATCCCTAACACCTATCATTGTCAATCATAGGATAGTTATATATTGGGTGTCGTTGTACGTTGATAGATTGAAAACTTGTTCGTAACTTAGTTTGGATGTCAGATATGAATCTTAAAGATACATCAAATATTTCAAGAGTCCTTATTAAATATTCCTCTTCTCTCCGATACGCATCCAAATACAAACGCTTACGATGACCATGAAAACTAAAAATTATTCAAGATTAGGATAACTTTTTATACTGGTATAAAAGCTGAATGTATTTGCTTTCTGATCGCCGATCTAACATCCAGATGATTACTGATGAATTGAACTTATAAAAAGTTGTCTGTACTCACGATTCTATTCTAAGATTCTGAGTTCATATAGGACTATGAGCCAATTTTTCGCTCTATATAGGATACGATTTAAAGTGGATAAAATTGCTACTTCTTTAATTTTATGCAGTTCTTATAAATTCAGTTCACATATCTCATTATGATAGATTACGATGTGTATGCATTGAAAATTCAACTTGACTATTTTGTTTTGTTTGTTTTTTTTTCAAATAACAGTACAGGTTTAAGAGGTGCACTTTCTGCCGAATATTTTCTACGCTCAAATTATGCTGTATTATATTTTCATCGTAAAGGTTCTTTACTACCATTTTTACATCGTTTAACCAATCAACAACAAAATTATCACCGAGAAGAAGAAAAAGAACAACAACAACAACAACAACAAAAGTGCACGAAAGAGGTGGATTCAAACAAATTAACTAATACTACTACTAATAATAATAATAGTAATAGTAACCAAAATAACATCGAAATATTTAATTGGTTCATGTTTAATCCACAAGATAATAAATTGCAATTGAAAGAGAATTCTGTACAGTTTTTAAGTTCAATATTCAATGAATATACTATGTATGGTGAGCAGTATATTGTCAAGTTATTGCATGTTTGTATTATTATTCATTGTTGTTTAAATTTTTTACCCGGTGGACTATAATTTTAAAATGGGTTTCTTATCAAGCATAATGAAGATAATTCAGTGGTCTAGAGGTTAAACGTTTGAGTGCGAGACAGAACATCCTTTATCTGAATCCCACATGCAGGATCGTGGTTGCGCACTGCTGAATAGTCCCATACTTGGATGAAGCAGCCATCCAGTGCTTCCAGAT